ATAACGATAAATTTTCGATTTATTGCCCAGCCCTAGCGTGAAGCATAGCATGCAGCAATTAGCTGCTGCTTTAGTGACTGGGTGCATTTCCACCAGCCGTGACGCATCTTTTTTTTTGGCACGTCCCAGAAGAGTAGGGACTTGTTACTCTGCAAAATCTATGCTTTGAGTCTATTTTTAAGTGCTACACTTCAATAATGCATCAAACACAGCAGTTCAGATAAGGCCAGACAGGAAGTGAAAGACAAAAGCTGTGTAATACATCCATGATTTTTCTAAGTAAAAGTCACATACAGATTTCCAGTTGCTTTTATAGTAAAAATAAAAGTACGTCAGTACGTTATGAAACTTCCTTAGCTGAGGTAAAGATAACAGAAAATAAACCGCAGACCTTTTGGATACATGCTACATCTTTTTCCTTGCTTGTTAGCAAATGAACTGCTGGCATCACGCGTGGTGTGCAATTCTCTCGTGATTTAGTGACGTTATGGGACCAGCTGCGTGGAACACTTTTGCTTCTGTTTTGCATCAGAAATGCTCCTGGTAGGAAGAGAGCTCATGGGTAAAATACATCTATTATGTTACATGCCACGTACCCATCTAGTGGAAAGCCGGGATAAGGCTCAAATGCCTGTTGTAAGGACGTTTGGAAAAGACTACAGTTCATGAAACTACATGCAAACAAACCAACAGTCATGCACAATTCTATTGCAGGGTTTCCCCCAGCGCTTTATAAGCCTGGTGGGCCGCCAGGCCTTGCTTGCCCACCCGCCAGGCTAAGCGTCATGCCCCGCCCCCCTCCCCGACCCTATTGTGTCCACTGACATGAACGGCGCAGCGAACCTAGAGCCCTCCATCAGCTGATACTGGTGAGAAACAACAGTGGAACGTGTGCAACCACCCCACCTCCACCCCCACTGTCACAGAGGAGCGCTGCGGGACCCTGTCTTCCCCTGGTGCAGTTGCTGACTTACTTTTTCTATTATTCCCTTTTACACTTAGTTGTTCCTACATTGCACACTGCTAACATAAGCAATTAGCTACGACCCAGCTGTACAGCTACTATATTGGGGTTCTTGTGAAAATTGCTCAAAACATCCAACATTTTAATTGATGGAATAGCTAAATTACACCAAAAGGGAGTTCAGCTCCCATCATCAACAAATAACAGACATGCACAGTTGCAGATATTGTTCTTGTTGGTACATCCTACCTGAACATTTATCCTACTTCTGACACATAAACCTTTTATTCATCCCTGACATAAACCTTCAATTATCCCATTTGCTGGGATGACGGTGGCAAAGGAGTTAAGTTGCTATCTCCTAATCGAAGGGTTGTGGGATCGAGCCCAGCTCAGTCTGTTGTAGTCTTTGTGTCCTTAGGCAAGACACTTAACCCACAATGCCCTCTGGTGGGTGTTGGAGTGACTGGTGGCGCCAATGTTTGACAACCTCACTTGCGTCAGTGCGCCCCAGGGCAGCTGTGGCTACAATGTGGCACATTGCCACCAGTGTGTGAATGTGTGTGCGAGTGGGTGAATGACTGTGTCGTGGAGCTTCTTGGGGGGTTTGTAGAACCCTGGAAGGTGCTATACAAATACAGGCCATTTACTATTTCCAGGACATTCATTTCATCCTTTGCCAGATGACCCTGCAACAAATATTTCACTTTTTGAACTTGTCGATTTTCATGATTTAGCATCAATTTTTATTGGTTTAGCTTGGATAAAACACAACAAAAGGATCACAGTCAACTAGGAGCTAGGGAGCCATTCTCAGATATTGTAAAAAGGAAACCTGGCCAATCAACTCCAAAGCCCAGAAATAATGGTGATAGCTCCTACTTAAATGTGGGATTAAACTGGAAACCGTTGTGATACCTGTAGTAGTTCAGGAAAATCTTTTCTGGTAGCCTGAGGAGCTCCATATCATTATGGGGGGTTTCCTGTTGGCTGCTGACATGACATAGCTGTCTAGCTTTCATTTGTTGACAGATTGTACAATGTTTTTTCTTCCAAAACCAACAGTGTCATGTACAGTAAAAAGCTAATCCCCTATTCCTACTAACATAACCATTAACAAGATTCGCTCGTTCACCTGCTCTCACACAGCAACACAGCTGATGTTCGAACTTGTCAGAAAGCCGCAAAAGCTGAGAAACTCAGCAAGCGGCACTGAAAAGTATAAGGAGGAAAATAAGTCTTGCCAGTAATTATAAGTCTGACGTCTTTATTTGTCACTACTTAGGCCCAAGCTCCTCAGACAAAAAACTACTGTTTGTCCAAAAAGCTTACAGAAAACATATTTGTGAAAAAGATGTCTGCAAAATAAGGAACACAGAAGGATTTGCAGTATCAAATCAATTGACAGGTGCCTTAAATAAGACAACAACTCAGTTTAAACCCCTTGTTCACAAATCCGCTTAGATCCTCCTCTCAGGTAAAGCATTTATTAGACTGCTGCTTATTAGCCACGAAGAGAGGCATTAGGAAAGCTGGGCATTGCTGCACCCAGTCCCTGTTAAAGGGCCTCGTGTGTAAAGAGCTGGGCTGGATTACAGTGTGATGAATTAGTTGGTGAGGAGACAGAGAGTAAGCACGACTGAGGTAGAGTACAGATAAAGGAGAGGAGGGCATACCTGGTAGAAACCCCCACAAATATATATATATATATATATATATATATATATATATATATATATATATATATATATATATATATATATATATATATATACATGTAGGCGCCACTGGTCCCTCCGACCACCAGCAGCAGGCAAGGTGTCCGATTAATGGACAACCCGCTCTACCTTCTGAGCTACTGCTGTGTAATGGTGTGGGAGACATTTTCTTGGTGCACTTTGGGCCCTTTAGTACTAATTGATCATCATTGCAACATCACAGCCTACCTGAGTATTGTTGCTAACTCTGTCCATCCCATTATGACCACAGTGTACCCTTCTTCTGATAGCTACATCCAGCAGGATAATGCACCATGTCATTAAGCTTGAATCATCTCAGACTGGTTTCTTGAACATAACAATGAGTTCACTGTACCCAAATGGCCTCCACAGTCACCAGATCTCAATCCAATAGAGCACCTTTGAGATGTGGTGGAACGGGGGATTCGCATCATAGATGTGCAGCTGACAAATCTGCAGCAACTGTGTGATGCCAACATGCCAATATGGACCAATATCTCGGAGGGATGTTTATAGTACCTTGTTGAATCTATGCCATGAAGGATTAAGGCAGTTCTGAAGGCAAAAGAGGGTCCAACCCGGTACTAGCCAGGTGTACCCAATAAAGTGGCCAGTGAGTGTATATGATAGTGTTTAATATCATTCAAGCACTTCTCAAAAAATGTTGGCTGAGTGGCTTTTTTAAAAATAAAACATACATGAAATAATTACTGTTGATGGTTCTTAATTTAGAGGATGTTAAACAGCTTGTAGACATCTGGTAGCGATCCGAGTCGGGCCATTCAAAATTTATCTAACCAAATTAAGGTGAGGAGAAAAGACAGGAGCATGCATGAGTATGTGTGTGGGGGGAGGTGGTGAAAGGGTGGCTGGAGGAAATAAGAACACACACACACGCACACACGCATGCACGCACGCACACACACACACACACACACACACACACATGCGCGTGCACGCACACACCTGTGAACTGACATGCCACGAGACAATCCAACATAACTAAAGCCCCCTTCAGACAGGCCATGAAAAACGGAAATGTTCAGGACTCTGTACGTAAGACCTTTGTGTCTGAAAACAAACATCCGGATAACCGTTTCCGTAATTAAACCGGACGAAGCCCCTAGTAACAGGTCCGGACTTGTCACGGACAAGGTGGCTGCCTCAGACTGGTGAGGTCGAGTTCCAGACAGGGAGGAGGGGAAGGAGGAGGGGACCGGGGGACGCTGTGCGCACCTAGATAGCTCGCTCCTGTAGCATGCGGCGAACCATGGCAGCTCGCCTCCTACGGTACCGTCTCCTAGACGCGCAACGGAGCACTTCACACGTTTCCCTGATTCCTTTATTAGCCATTGAGCTTCATCATCCAGGTCTCTTATGCGTCTTCGTGTGCGCAGAATTATGCTTAACATAAGTCCGATCAGTGAGAGGAATTCTATCTCTTCGTCGGCCATGTTTGACTGAATGGCTTTGTTTGGGTAAATGACGCATGTACGCCCGCCGCACTATGTTTACGCAATATCCAGGTACAGCCTTCCCACCCCCTCCCCCTCAGACATCTGGAACTTTTCCCTGCTGTGTGAAGGCAGCCGAAAGGACAAGTTCGGGTACAAAAGTGGTGTGTCTGAAAACACAGTTCTGGTTAAAAACAGGACTGAATTGTCCACACATATTCCAGAATGTCTATCTGAAAAGGGCTTTGACACACGGTGGGGTAAGCTTCCAAGCATATATGACTGTGTAAGAATGGAGATGGGTGGGGGGTGGGTCCTTGCAGGGGGATCCTTAGTGCTGTCAAGGGGGGTTTGTAAATATGCAAAGAACCAGTAAATTAAATCAAACTGCCAAACTGTCAATTTCGGGCTAGCGTGACTAGTGCATGAAAATGGCACCACTGGAAGGTATCAAGGCTTTGGCGGCCCCCTTATCCCTGGGCTTTTCTGGCACTGATTCAACTTTGTGTAGAGGTGGCTAATTTTGCATGCAAATTTCAGTCAATAAGCTCCAAGCAAGTCATCCCAGGATATTTCAAAGGATCTGACAGTAGATTCTCCCTCCTCTCTCCTTCTCTCTATCATTCTAGCTCACATTCTTCTTTTGGCTGCTGAATACCAACTAGACAGACAATGAAATTCAATCACCCATTTGCTTACGCTTTGCATATGCACATTGTCCCCCTTGATGCTCTGTACCCCTACAATTCAGCCAGCCTTTTTTCTCAACTCTTAGCTTCTAAAAATAATGAAGGAGATGGAAAAAGAGAGTGAGTGTCTGTGCATGTGCACGTGCATCATTACCTATCTATGCTCATGTCCTCCCACTCGTCCTTAGTGGGGCTGGGGCTTCGGCCCTGCCAGCTGATGGCTTGATTGGAGCTGACTGTTCGGTGGCTGCGCTGGCGTAGAAGACCTCTGTGCCTCGTCGTCTTGAATTTGACCTTGCCGCTAATGCCGTTAGCAATCCCAGATGCCCTTGCCGGTCCTGCTGCACGATTCCTATGGAAGTCTCTGGCTGCTTTGACGATCCCCAGCTCTTGTCTCAGCTTGAGCAGCTGATGATGGAGCTTGGTAATCTCTTTTTGAGACGTGGCCAGCCGGGCTTCTACTGCCATGATCTCACCACAGTGTTGTTCCTCCTGGGCCAGAGCCTGAGCATGGGCCGCCTCGACTCGGACAGCCTCCTGCGTTTGCTGATGATTCATGGAAGTTTGGAGCCTGCGGAAGTTTTCGGCCAAGTCTTCATTGGCCTGAAGTAACCGTTCTTTCTCATCTCTCAGCCTGTCCCTTTGCTCCTCCAGTGACATCATCCTCTGTTCCAGTTGCTCAATCTGAAAGTATCAAACATGATCAGCGGTAAATACCATAACAGAATATAATCCCTCTACATATATGCATTTTTTAATAGCAGTACTAAAATTCATTAAGATGCTAGTCGTGCATCTAACTGGAACACAGGGAGACAACAACCTGTAACGTGCTAGTTGACCTTGTTCTGTTGCTTTGTTGAAAGGCCATTTTCTGATTTGACCTGTGACATGTCAGTGGTTTCCTTCTCCCTCAAGGCTATGAACATTTGACTGGCACCCTCTTTTACCCTGAGCTCCTTTAACTAGACAGCAACCAGGAGCACTTAACTCTCTTTGTTAGATCTTCAATGGAAACTGTTTAAGAGAACAGGGGCTGCCTGCTGGGTTTGTGCCTCCAGGCAATTTTTTCTTTTTATTTGGTTCTCACACAGCCTGCTGGTGAAGCCCGATACCTTTCAAACAAAATTAGATGACTATCCTCAATCCTGATGATTCCCTGTCATGAAAGCAGGATTGAAGCAACTAATTAATTTATGCAAGCGCGATTTTACAGCAAGTACAAAGCAAGTGTTACCGCCAGTAGCAAATCTGCACTCAACTTCTATTGTATGGAGAGCATTATGATTGTCTATTTATAGATATTCCAGTTAAAGTTTGAGAAAACAAAGTAGTTTCTTGCTGACACCTGACTCATTCCAAAGAGTGAGAAAAGAAAAAAAAAAACCTGTGAATTCCGCTTAAAAGAGCAAAATCAAATGTTCCACGAGACATCTAGCTGGAGATGGCTCTGTCGAGTTTCTTTTATTGGTAATGACAAGGAGCACTTAGTGATGGCATAGTGCTGTACCTTTTTAAATGACTGTTCCATTCGCCATGAAGAAAGCGAAGCCTTAATCGGAGTGCTGCTTTTGACCTGCTGCTCCTCTGCCATTTGCTGAAGCAATTCTGCAAAAAGGAACAAAGCATGCTATTGTGACACACTGTGTCAAATTCAGGTGAGACAATCAATATAATAATAATAAAAAAGGATACATTAAATCAATTAACATTAGTGGGGTCTAATTTCTTCTTTGAGGTCTGGTTTCTTTCCTTTTTTTTCTTTTGTCAATCACAGCACAAACGCTATTTTCCAATGGCTTTAAAAATGTTCATGGGGGCGGGGGGGGGGGGGGGGGGGGGATCCCTCCTGTTTTGAAAATCCAACAGCCTTCTTTAAACTTCAGACTAACCAAAATGTATTTTATTCAGAAGTCTACAAGGAAATAGAAAAACAGTGTTCAAAAGCACAAGCTAGTACTTACTATGTGCAACCTGTCTCCGGGGACCTTAAACAAACTAAGAGAAGTGTTTGAATCCCAGGTGAACGCGCAGCCCCAGGCTGCACTGCTTTGTAGTCCTACGGTGTTTCCTCAAAGGACATTTAATCTCCATAGACAAACATGCTGCTTTATTCTGGGAACTTCAATGATGCCATTGTAAAAACATGCAATTTGGGGATTTTAATAACAACTCAATGCATAGAAGAGTCCAAACGTCTTTCAAGTTTAACACTCAAACATAATCTTGCTTATATTTTTACCAATGAATGTATACTATTTCTTCACCTGCATGCGGAGGGCAACACACAACAATGCAAAACTTTCTGCCTCTTGTTCTCTCTTGTTAAACATTCATGACAAGACGACCAAAATAATTTGTACAATGAGCTGGGAACATCAAATATTCAGGACCGTGACTCTTCAGGTCAGTTGATCTTGTTGAGTGTGGGCTAAAAAAAAATACCAACAAAGCAATATAAGGGAAACGTAGAAAGAAAGAGGGTTGTGTTGTAAAAGGAGCTGCCGCTCCCTTGCTTTGCATTGACGCCTTGCCCAGGGAAGTTTGTTACATTGAATTAGCCGGCCCTTTTGTCTTCCTTGTGTGTCACATTAAATCACACGGAGCACCAAATAGGACAGGAGGGCTGCTGTGTTCACTGGGTACATAACCAGGTTGAGACAATTATCCAGCATCAGCGCGAGTGGCATGGGAGTTGGCACCTCAACACTACCTAGATAAGAAGACGCGGTGGCTCCCTAGTCACCTCCCGTTGAAGGAGGTTCTGGCACCACTGCATATATTAACGTCCCTCCCACGTCTCCTCACAGGATACAGCTCAAAGGCCCCGTTTCTTTCATCTGCCCTCTTTTGTTAGCGTGATCTTGGTGTGAGCTCTTCAGTCCTGCTTCTTTCTGACTGGGTCACACAGGTTCCTCTTTAGTAGGTGCTGTGGCCTTTCACAATTTTCTTATCCTTCTGAGTCCAAGTCAATAGGTTTTATTCAAATATTATAGAATAATTTAAGGTTTAAAATATCAAACACAACAAGTAATTTAAAAAAGTTTTATATGCTTTTGTCCACATGATTATCCAGCTCCGGAAGCATTTTGACATTGGAAATATATCTTTAAAAAACATATCTTCATTTAAATGGGACATTTTCTAATAGGTCTGTGGGCTACACAAAACATTTACTTAGCACACGCACACTCATATAATGTGATCTCAGCAGCAGTTTCAACACCTTTCTAAACAAGATGTTTCAGGGCTCTGTCACTTTAATGCAAATAAGTTGTTGCTGGCCACGCCCATCCTAACTCAGACTGATATGAGGGGAGGAGCTTAGAGGGGCTTGGAGTAGAGCTGCTGCTCCTTCATGTCCAGAGCAGAAGACTCCCTAAGTGTTGTGAAGGGTGGTTCTATGCTAATGTTCCCTATTGTGATGTCACAATAAGGAAAAATTTCAAACAGCTTGTAGAAGTATGATAACTAGAACTAATCTGAAGTAATGGCTTTATTCACGTTTGGAGTGCTTATGCGACCGAAATAGAAACACAAAAGGACGTACTAGTTCTTAACAAAAATGAACCTATTGGCCACATTATACAATAAAAAATAACAGTTATAGGCTGTGACTGGTTGGAGACACAGAATTATACACAGGAAAAAGTGCTGTGCAAATAATCTCATTGCAATTTAATCAAAACACATCTTAGCTGCGTCTTTGCCAATTATACAATTTTTTTGCAATTGGTCTCTAAATTCTTCAAAAGTTGTCTTTTGCACTTCTGACACATGGAAACTACGGCCTAGTCCACATGTAGCCGGGTCTTTTTAAAAATGAATATCCGCCCCTCAAATAACTTGCATCTGCACCACCTTGTTTTAAAACAAAACTCCGTCCACACGTACCCGGATAAATACGTTGTTAAGGACATGCCAGACCTGTAGGCGGCAGTACTTCCCCCGTTCTTAACCTCGTCCTTCATCTGTGGTCTTCCGCAAGGAGCAGTAATTCCGCTTGCAAAAACAAACAAGCAAAAAGTGCTTGGACAATTGATAAAGCGAGCGCAGCTCTGAGGGCATCCATGCTGTCGGCTAGTGTAAACACAGGTCACACACGTGATGTCAGCATTTTTTTGTCGCGGAAAGTGAAGTTGCAGACCTTAAAACTCCGGTTTTGTCTGTCCACACGCAGACACCCAAAACAGAGAAAACGCAGATCTTCACTTTGGCCGGAGTTTTTAAACAGATCCGTTTTCGTGTGAAAAAACTCCGTTTTCGTGTGGATGACAGGCCAAAACGTAGAAAAATATCTACGTTTTGGCAGATCCCCGGCTACGTGTGGACAGGGCCTAAGTTGGTCAGGGTTCCAATTGTCCCCGGGGCAGTTGTGAAAAGAAGATAGTGCCGACTTTTGAACATTCCTTGATACAAAAACAAAGCCATGTGGCTCGTGAGGTAATTGAAAACACTTGCAAACAATTTGTGACCTAAGACACTTTGAGTGACTGCTCCTCAAAGCGACATCTAACTAAGTAATGCTTCTGAGGTTGTTTTTATTCTGTGCAACCCAAACAAAGCCATCAGATCAAATCCAGTATTTTAATTAGTTATCCATTAAATCACACGCTGGCATCTTCAACTAGACGCTGTCACTGACTGAGGAAATTAAACGTAACAGAACAGATCTGTTATTGAACTAATTAATTAAGGCCACTGGTTAAAGTATTTAGTGTTAGAGTGTCACAGGTTGGATTAAAAGGGATGTGCTTATAACACAGAGAATGATGCAAGCAGACAAAATGGACACCATTTGATCTCCGAATTAATTTGCCAGAAGTTGATCAAGTCTTAATTGAGTTGTTCTGGTAAACCTGCAGGGAGTTGTGTTATTAATTCTTCTCATTAATACACATTTCCCAGAGGTCAAAGAAGAGCTTAAAGGTGCTGCTGAATTAAAAAACATGCAGACCTCTCCATCATTAAAGGTAGTGTCTTATCATTTTCCCCCTTTCACTCTGGCTATAGATTCATTATGAGAATTGTAAAGAACATAGAAGTAACACACAACCTACTGAAAGGATTAAGTTAGCTTTTCAAGATTAAGTGAAAATGAAAAAGAAAAAAAAAATTGGTATAAATTGCCTGAAAACGTAAATCACACACAGTGATTTGAATTCAAATCAGTTTAAGCAGCACTGTTTCTCAAACCTAAAAATAATATTAATAAAAGAAAAAAGGTTCACCTTGATGATCTTTAGCCAGACACATGTGGAGCTCCTTCACTGTGGCCCGGTCCATTGCAGCCTGCACTCGCAGCATGTCTAGTTCCTCCTCCAGGCCAGCTCTACAGATACACACATTCTATAGATTATCTTTTAAAGATTGTTAACCCTCTGGAGGCAGGCATTGCAGATTAGCAACAGTTAAAACCTACCTACCTGGTTACTCCACATACGTATCTCATGAGCATTTTTAAACTCAGAAGTACCCCTGAAGGACTTAGTAGTTCGTCCTTTTATCTAAACTTATTTTGAGCCTGAGAGGGTTAAATGTAAAATCTTTAAAGAGCGGGTTGTCCAGTAATCGGAAGGTGGCAGGTCAGATCCCGGCTCCGACCAGAGAATGCTGCAGTTGTGTCCTTGGGCACTTAACCCGTCTTGCCTGCTGGTGGTGGTCAGAGGGGTCGGTGGCGCCAGTGTTCAGCAGGCCTCACCTCTGTCAGTGATGCCCCTGCCCCGGGGCAGCTGTAGCTACATGATAGCTCGTCATCATCAGTGTGTGAATGTGTGTGTGTGAGTGGGTGAATGACTGATTGTGTTATGAAGCACCTTGGGGGTTTGTAGAACACTAAGAAGGCGATACAGACTTTTTACCATTTAAATGACACATATATTTCATTACATCTGATAGATAAGGTAATTGTAATGCTTTGAATTTTAGGAATAATTCATTATCAAGAAAAAAGGGACAAACAGATAAATGTCTAACCTGTATTTTATATCTTTCTCAGTAAAAAAAAAACCCCGCTTGCACTAAAGGTTTATCTGTATTAATGTATTTTTTTTTAGTTAAAACGACATATCTCCTGAGCAAATAACTTGTTACAACCTTTATAAATGCAGTCTTTACAGATCTTTAAAGAATGTTTCACTCACACATTTTTACTGTGCTGGCCAAAAGAAAAGAAGAGATGGCACGGTGAAGAAATTAACCAATTAAAATGCTTTTTAACTAATCTGAAAACCAAAGTGACAAGCAACATGAAAAGCTGAGGTAGGAAAGGTAAACTGTACTCTGTGTGTGTCTTAACCGTGTACCCAATTACCTCTCTGCAATTAGCTTGATTCCTGCTAAAGGCTAATTATGTGGAGCCATGCTCTAGTATTTGCACTTTCAAGTTATTATTAGGACCCCAACTGTAGTCTGTGGAGGATTCACACAGGTCCACTGAGACTAGCATACCTGAAACACACACCTAATTTCCCTCCCCTCTGCTCCACAGAGTCAGGGAAAAACACAAGAATCAAACTCCAACTATTGCAGTGGCATTCTGAACCTCATTACAAAAGGTAGGTCTTCCTTCTGACTGACTTCATACAGGGATAGTTTGGATCTTTTGAAGTGAGTTTTTATTGGAAGGCTATAAAAAATAAAAAACGTACCCATTGCAATTTCTCTTTGACTGACTTCAGGCTGGAGAAACGGAGATTGTTTTTTTCTAGACAAATAAACTAATGGCTAAACTAAACAGGACCAAGGATTCCAATGAGGAATATCGCCATCCTAAAAAAACTCTAGTCTCAAACTCTTATAGAGTGTTAAAATTTCATTAAAAATGTTATAAAACTAAAACTAGAAGTGTTACACATAACGCAAGAAGGGCAAGAGCATATGAAGTGCTACAGCTAGCTAGCGCAGATGCTAGCTTCTGTGGCAAATGACCATAGAATTCTATGAATTTGATAATGTAATGCTAAATGTACAGTAGTTTATTAAAACATCTTTTCATCACTGTGACTTTTTAGGTATTTGATTCATTTTAAGATGGAAACAACTTTTGGTTTAAACCCTACTTTGACTAGATGTTAGCTTATCAGTCCAGTCAGAACAAATCCAATTTTTTTCCATTTTTGGGCTCTTAAAAAGCTTCTTACAACAGGTAAAATATTAAAGCTTCCTTCCGGAGTATTTCTCTTATCCGATGGCACCATCTAGTGGCTGACAAGCGTATCACACAAAAACACTGTTCCTCTGTTTTTTTTAAGATGGCGACTTCACGTTTCTGTTTATAAATGTGCTTCTGTAGCCGACAAACAGCTAAAACACGTTGTTTTACGAGTATTATTCTCATGTCATGTTGTGTTTTCATAAATTTATATTTTAGAGACTTTCTTGTCCGTGAAAAGTTCATCAACTCTGCATCAGCCGAGGTATTCCTCAAATTTGAAGCGTCTAAGCGGTAGTCTAATACTATTGTTAGTTCTAGTCGGCGCTCAGTTTCCTACTGCACGGAGCTCTGCCGGGCACGGGGCGTGCTTAGCACACAAAAAAAGACGTATTGCTTATATTATATCACAGTACATGATAAGATAATCACTTTTACGGATTTCTGACAAATCTTACATAATTTCTGAAAGAGGAAAACTCCAGAAAGCGGCTTTAAGTGTCTATAAACTTTATAAGAAACCCCACTTTAAAAAGATTTGCACAATCAGTTTGGAGCATGTTTTATCAGAAAGTGTTTAGGCTATACATTTGTAACTGGTGCCATTGGAAATGTTGAGAAGCATACAATAATTGAACCTACACTAGTCCCCTGAATCAGCCAATTTAATTTTCTTCATATGCATTTGCACACAAAAATTTCATCATAAAAAAATACTGCCATAGTACAAGAAAAGGAAGTAATAACTACTGTAATCACAGAGTGCAGAGGCCTGGTCTAATGGTTAGACAAGGCTCAAATAAGTACACAAATGGCTCTCGCCCAGAGGGTGAGGAAGCAGATGGATACGTGTCGCTTCTGTATAGATTTTCCTCCATAAATGAACCCAAGTCGATGAGGCACCAGAACTGCCTTGTGTGTCCAGGCTGGTAATGGGACCAGTGAGCTGAAATAAACAGTATGTAGAGAAAGCCTTCTTCATCTCATGTTTCTCTTTTATGCCTTTTCAGATGCTGATAGTATTGACGTTGAACCAAAGTTCATGTGAAAAGCATTCGGTTTTGTTGAAGGATACGTAGTTTCTCAAATAGGAAAGAGATTGCATTTCAAGCATTACTTTATGAAGATGGAATACCATAGTATCCTCATTTACAACAACACTGCGTCTGTCTGTAGTTAGTGCTTTGTCTGCAAAAGATGGAGGATATGTTCCAACAATAGATGTTGTGAAGGCAAAAACACCTGTTTTGAGTATGAATCGGGTTATTTGTGAGGAAGAAAATGATTTAAAACTAATATAACAAATATATTTAAATGTTTTAGGTTCAGTGCTCTAAAAGCTCTGTTTGGGGTGTTGTTAATAGGCATGGTTCCATTGTCGGAACTTTGGGGTAAATTCTGGGAGGGTGAAATTGAACAGGAGATTTGGTGGCTCCTCTCAGCTGTTGTGTCTCCACAAAATTCAGCATTTTTAGGATTTTGAACAGATGTCAGCATATTGAGTGCGTTTACATGCAGCCAGTAATCCTTTTAAAACCCGAATATTCACAATAACCCAGTTCCGCACGGCCATTAGAGGTGTGAATCTTCACTTGTCTCCCCATTCGATTACGATTATTGGGTCAACGATTCAATTCGATTCGATATCACGATGCATCACGATTATTTCATATTGATTTGTTTTCATCGATAAATAGAAGATGTCAGATAATTGCTTTTTATTTTTTTATCTAAAACGTAATTGACACAACCTGTCATCCCTCAAAAGCTCTCCATTCACAACAGGTTAGGACAAAACATTTTAAACATTTAAGAAGATTAAACAAAGTAAAACATCTGTTTCCTCGTTCAACACCACGCCTCAGGCTGAGAAAAACACGCTTTGCAAAAACTCACAAAATCTAAAAATATACTGAAAACCTACAGGACACATAATGTAATAATAAAATCCATAATGGGATCATATATGAGTGTTTAATGTCTCTGAGCAGCTCTAGAGTCAAATATGTATGCCACAGTTGAAGGGTGTCAGAAATAACACCAAATGAAATGTTTGACTTAGTTTTATTTGAACCCAGTGGTTCGTTTCTGAAATGTTGGAGAATGAATCAAGTTCTGTTTGATGCAGAAAATAATAAAACATAAAACAAATTCTAAACTTCCAATAATATTTGAGATGTGTGTTTTATTCTTTCTGATAATAACACCAGCAGAAGGCTGTGGGCTGGATTAGGATTAAATTACCCAGCTGATGGATCTCCTTCACTAACCAGCAAACTACAAACTTTTCCACTAACCTGTCCTGTGTGACCCTCACCATGTAACCCTCATGTCCATGCTGTCTCTGGAGGAGCTGATAGGAAACAAGACCTGTAACCTAAAATGAACCAAAGCTTCCTCCCAGTTTCTCTTTAAGCTGAATTTAACATCAGTTTATCATCATGAAACAAAAGAATAAAGTGGAACAAGAACTTCTATCTTCTATTTCTCTCTCCTTTTAACTTCTCCGTGTCCCTAAATAAAAGAGACAGATGATCACGCTGCAGCCGCCGTCATTGACCCCGCCCCCTCCCCAAGACCAGATCTCCCTACATTACAACACTCGGTCTGGCTGAGCGCTTCCAGGAGAAATAATAATTAAATTATGAAAATAATAATGCGTGTTTGGAGGAGCGTCCTCCGATCCTCTCTCTTGTGTGAGCAGACAGTGTCTCTCTCTCTCTCTCTCGGTCGCTGATCGAGCGAGCGGAGTGCGCAGCACGACAACCCGCTCAATTAACATAATTCACGGCCCAAATCCAACAGAACTGGTCGGGCTGATTCGGTTCCGGTTTGGTCTCGGGTGACAACTCTAGCGCTCAGCCCTGCAGTACCACATTAAGGCGGAGGTAAATGTGGAGGACGCTCACTTGGACAGATTTGGATGCGGCGCTGGTGCCGCTGTTAAAAAAAACAAAACTACATTCCACTATAATCGATTATGGCGTATTCTTCTACTATGCAGAATCGTTTATGTCCGCATCCCGATGCATCGATTATTTGATTATTTTCCTCAGCTCTAACGGCCATGTAAACACCGCCAAAAACCCGGATATGCTCATAACCGGGTTTTTAAAAACCCGGTTACTACACCTGGGGTAACCCTTTTCTAACCCGAATGTTTGGTCGTGTAAACGCAT